GAACAGCCCTCATTTTTTTTAGAACACACCTTGTATATAGTTTCTGCATCATCGCATATATCGGATTATGTGCCAAAAAGACGGCACTGGCAGGAAGTGCTAGCCTTTGTGCTTACTTCGTGTTGCTAATTACGAAGACTGTGTGCAAAAGAAAAATGGCGCACATAATGCACACGACGTAGATGGATCAAAATGGCTGTAATGCATTATTGACAGCTTCAATGCAATAATAGATATCGTAATCCGAATCACGCCCGCTTCCTACTGCAAAGACTGCTCAGAAAATATCGGATGCATTAACCTTGCATATGTTAGAGAATTTGAAAACATTTTGAAGATATAAGTTCCTATCTACATCTGTTTCATCCGTTCATTTTCTATTTTTCCGGATCAGTAGCCGAGTGGGTAAGAATCACGACTGTCAAGCAAGTGTTCGCGGATATAATATTTCTTGGCCGAGAGAGTTTACTTCAGTCGTTCATACATTGAGTACTCAGGCGGCTGGGTACCCATCCAGTAGGTTGAAGTCACCGCATCCACATTTCTTTCTTTCTTTCTCTGTTATTTGTTTCTGGCCGCGTCGTCACCGCATTACGCGAATAGTCGTCATCCCCTGGTTGATTAGCTATATCAAAAAACATATACATATATTTATTTTGAGAGGATATTTATTATATTCCCTTTGTGTTTCGTGGTAATCCACGCAAAAATACTTTGGGCCCCTTAACTGACACACGTTCAATTAAGAAAATACTATCCAAGTTGTTTCTTTTTTCTCTAGTAGGCTCATGGAAAAGATTCTTCCGCAAGTCTTGATCATGGACCTCGCAAAAGTCAAAAATACTAATACCGTACAACGCGTGTACGACGCGAGATTTTATGCCGCTGTAGCTGCGCTTCCAGGCGTACGTCTGCGCTTATGATTAAGATTTTCAATCAACCATCGAATCTACCTAATAATAATCGAAAAAGACTATCGCCGCAATCTAAATTTTTCTAAAGGTATAATTCAAATTTTTCTAAAGGTATAATTCAGCAATGGCTTCCTCTTCGAAACTTCGGTCTGTTCCTTCCTAGCTCTGTGAGACATTGCACTATTTGTATTTAAACAATTATTCTTCAAATCGTCACAGAAATACGAAACAAAGTGATTCCGGAAGCGCCGTGTTCCTAACAAAGGCCTGAAGACAACGTCGCTTACATCCAAAGACTCTTCTTCGCTCTCGTCTTTCTACGTTCGATTTATAAGGAAGCATTATTAAATGTATGGACTAAATCAAAGTTTTTCATGAGATGTTCATTTCTTCGTTCATAAATCCGCTATGAATGGCACCGAACCTGTCATGCAGCTTTCATTAATGAGCCCGTGTTTCATTTCAAAAATTTATTAAAATATGCATCATTGCTTTAAGATTGCAGCCGTTACTTAAAAAAAAAAAATGAATAAATAAAAAAATTTTAAGAAAAATAAATCAAAGCTCCTGCAGCATCACCTCGAAAAAAAAAAAATAAGAAAATTTAACGCAATTTAGGCGCCCTTCCAAAAAGACGATGCGAAGTTAAGTCGACAACTGAACCTAATTCCAATAACAAATTTCGACCACATACTTACTAGATCCAATTAATATGTCCGGCCAAAGATCACCGGCTACATGTAGAAACATTATAGAGGGGCGTGATCCACCACTATATACCCTATGCCACTTTACTTAGTACACTTATCCATATAATGACTTTTCGAAATAGGGTAATATAGTGGACGTGGTCGAAATAGTGATCCGATCCGAATCATTTTCGATAGCGTTCGCTCTTGGGCCGTAACATGCTGTTGTGTCAAGTCAAATTCCATCAAAGCAACCCAAGAATTGTGATTGTAGGTCCAATATAAGCAAATGAGACGGACAGACGGACAGATAGTTTCAGGGTTTCATGATCATTTTCTTAATAAAAAGAGGATCTATCTTGAGTCCTTCCAAGTGTTGCATACTTCCGCACAAACTTAATGCACCCTAGTAGCACGCATGGTGCAGCGCATCAGAAAAGAACACAAAGTGGAGGATATTTACATATAATCCCAAAGCTAATTTTCTTCTTGCGTCTTGTTTTTTAAATTTTTTTTTTTGTCAAAATAATTATGTTCATTATATATGTGTATATATATATATATATATATATGTATATGAATATATTTTTAATGTATTTAAGAAGTTTGATATTTAAACTGATATCAAATGTAAAGTTCATTTTTACAATATAATAAATTAATTGTTTCATTTCAAGTCAAGCAGAAAAATTCATTTAATTAGTGGACTGACCGATCGCCTTGACTGCTTAAAGCAAATATTATTCAATGATAATTGATTTGATTTGTTAAATTTTGCTTTTTAATTTCTACACTTGGATTTAATTCACCTTAAAATGTTACTTGAACAATGATCTCGAAACTCAAGCCCAATCCCAGTTCTACAGCTAGAGCCTAAGCCCGCCTGTTTATCTCATTCGTTAAATTGGAAAATTTGAGAAATTTTTTTTTATTTAATAAAATGAGAGAGAAATTTTTCAAATCTAATCGTTTATAAGTGTAAGTCAATCAGCATTAGAGCATAAGAATTTTTATTTATTTAGTTAAGCGCTTTTTCAAATGTTACAAGAAATTTCGTAGTATACATCATATATATGTGTAAATTGTGCAAATATCATTACAACAATCACATCAACTAAGCCAGAGATCTTTGGGTAAATGTCAAAGCGATAATGTTGACTATTTTACTATCTAATATCTACCAAATGTTATGTTATTATGTAATTAGTTGGATAATTTATGCTTAAATATGCATATACATATATGCATGCACATATATATATGTATGTGTATAGCATTCATATTCTAAAAATGTTGTCTCATATTCTATGAAATTGTTGTCTGAGATATTGGGCTGAAAATTTTCATGCCAAGCAACCCACTGAACTACATATCAAGACCCACATGTTTATTACTGCCCAAGCACATGCATATACATATGAAAAACTATATATATCGTAAATATTTACACTTGCATTTAGTGTTATTTGTGTGTCCTATGTTTATATATATTGTGTGTTTGTACATGGACACTCAAAATATCAAACACGTCCGCACACAACCGTAACCGTAACAATCAGCCAAACCATCACGTTTTACGTGCACGAATTTCTGGTGACCAAGGCACTCGAGAGAGAATTATTGCCACAGCAAGTTAGACATTCATACTTCACTACATATAATATATAATATATATATTTTTATACTTATTTGTAATTACGTTATATTTTTATACTATCGTATATGAGGAGTGCAATTTAAACTGAAATTTATTCCTTTCTATTCAATTGCCTAGTTAGGCCAGGCCAGGTCTAACGTAGCGGCATGGCCTGTTTGTCCGTTAACGATTATCTAGCACAAGTAGAAAACCTTATAAGCTAGGCGTCACATGTATTACTTTACTCCTAATAAACTTGTTTCACTCTAGGAATTTATTACAGATCTTACCCATATACATATAAACGGCCATTTACATTCTTGTCCTGTAAGTGTGTGCAGTATATGTTTATGAAAGTGTGTAGGTATGCATTTATATACTGAATTCAACCTGTAAATAGGTATGTGGGTAAGTGATAGTTTTTACAGTCAATATATGATAATAATTATCGGCCAATAATCTTAAAAAGCCTTTAAATTATTAAAGCCGGACGGTGGAATAAAAAAGTTTACTTAAAATACGATAAACTAGATATTCTCGCTAACGCTATGAACTAAAACTAAACTGTATTGATTTTTCATCAATTATTAAATCCATCTTTAAATATAATTTTAATTTCTTTTTAATTGCGAAGAACACGCCTCGCTCATCCTATCACAGACAAAAAAAAAAAAACATTGTAGAAGCTGAAAAAGCCTTTGGATTTCATAGTAAACAGTTTGATAACATTGTAAGCAAAAATAGCTGACAATGTCCACTTACTACTAGGAATGTTTCCAAAGGATCCCTCTCGCGGAAACACACGGCATCTGTTGAAATCGCCCTTTTATCTTGTCAACATCTGTTATTCAATTAAGGATTGGGATATGCAACGCCCAGAACGAAGCGTCAGAGACCCCCATAGAGTATACATATTCTGGATCAGCATTAAATTCTAAATCGATGCAAGTATATTCGTCTGTCCGTCTGTCTGTCCATCTGTGTAATGTCTATGATGAATATTCTTCTAGTCACAAAAATAAAGCTATCGTCTTCAAACTCGTCAGAAACATCGGAAGTTGTTGCACGCATGAAAAACGTGCGATGAAAAACCCCACAGAAACAACAAAAACTAGGAGCACTCCTGTTGTCATCGATTAAAATTAATTCTTATCCTAAATGTATGTATACTTAACAGTATCTCTGACGTTTCCTTTTGTGTGTTGCAAATGTTTCTCACATTGGAAATATACTGTACTGGAAATATATCCTTTGCTTTTATGCTGAGCATAAAAGGCGCCATCTTGTCGGAATTCATGTCGACAATTATATTGAGCCGCACTTTTCGTGATATGAACAAGGTCCATATTTTAGGCCGACGATCTTACTACTTTGCATGTTTTGTGTTGCGAAGGTTAACGAAGGCGAACGCTGGTGTCAACCGTATGGGTCACTTGGACCTTCCGTATATGGATTCAATAACTTAGCATAACATTGTACTCAACCGTTGAGAAAATCAAATCGAGAAAAATAAAGTTGACAGACTCCTACAAGGAGAAGCTGTTTGTCCTATTGAAGCTGTTTCTGATGAGATGAGACATATATAACAGTTCTGAGTGTTATTTTAGTTAATTAAAATCGCTATTTAGTTAAATATTTTAAATTGAAAATTTTTACCGATTTTCACTACATAAGCGAATAAGATATCATGTAATATTTCACTGTGTCAACTACAGTCATAAACAATAACTTATGCATCTTTATTTATGCATCTAACTTTACCTTTATTTATTTTCCAGCCTTTAATGACATTTCTTACCTGCAATTAAAAAAATGGAAAAAAAAAACATTTTTTGTATTTAAAAATTATAAAAATGAATTAATATTTATAGAGAAACATAAATTGCATAAACTATACATAAATTACTGTCCTACGGAATACGATTATTACTGGATTATTACTGGAGCATGCAGGCAACATTTCTTTTTTCATTCATTTTTCACCAACAAATCCTAGAGCATAAGCAATGAAATTTTTAATGCATTTATTAGCAAAACTGAAAGAGGATTTCTGTTAAGGATGATGTAGTAGATGTAGTATATCAAGCTATGAATATTAATGAATGAGCACATTAACGCATTGCAATCATGATAATAAAAATGGAAGAAGAAGAATAAGAAGAAAATATCATTGTATGGCCAAGAGAGTTTTTTTTTTTTGCTATGAAATTTTTTTTTTTTTATTATTATTATTACTTCCTAATATCCTTAATATGTTTTCACAATGAAGCTCGGAACAGGTTCGCATCGCATTCCAGCATTTCCATATTCAATGCTGGGTCTGTCTTTCATTTTTCCTTTCTCCCTCGTTCTCTCTCTCTTCCTCTTCCTATCGTTTTTTTTCTTTCTCTCTGCGTTCCTCTCCCACTTGCTCTCTTTCTCCTTCTTAAATATAATAATTAAATGCTATTATGGCAACTAAACCTTTAATGCTGCGTAATGCATGGAAAGCCCCCGAAAATTTACATTGATTGCAATATGTTTTAAGGTCCAAAAAAAATCAAATATATCTTATATATAGATCAACAATACGGTGAACATGTAAACCTAAGCAAGTGTCTACAGTCCACCATTAAATGGCCTCTACCCTACCCTACCTACTAACCTACTAGTAACCTACAGCTATCCATATGTCCACTTTTCAAAATACGGCGTTACATGGGAGGTGATCAAAAGGAATGAGAGTCCGATCCCAACCATTTTCAAAGGCGTTTCATCAAAATATCTCAAAAATTACGGCTTGTAGCTTGAGCTTGTGAGAAAACAAGTCAGATAGACAGGCGGACGGAAGGACAGATAAGAAAATGATACCGAACCGATCGATACAACAAAAGATGTATCAAGCTTAAGTCCTTCTAAATGCTGTATACATCCAAACAAACTTAGGATATAAAGAGGTCTTTAAATCGTCTTCACATTCAAACGAGGCCTTTTTAGTTCCTCTTGCAGACGACCGTCAATAGCCTTCTAAGAGAGGAAACTAATTTACTGTAGTATTTAGAAAAATGCATTTTTCTTTTAAATTGGTTGCTTTGAAGCAGTTGCAGTTATATTAAATAATGTTCCCACCACTTTTCAAAAACTCGAGATATACGTTTTGGCAAAAAAATCTTTAATTTGGCTATTTGGTCTTTCGGTTTAGTATGATCAACGCGTCTTCCCTACTCGGCTGATAGTGATGGCGGTCAGAACGTAATGATGAAAAAGAAAGAGAAGGGACGTGGCCGCAACCTCAGTATAGCTATGACTAAAGAACACTCTAACACACTTGCGATATGAATCCATGAACGCTGACTTGATAGTCACGATTCCTATCCATTCGGTTACTCTTGCGGATTAGGCCTTTTAGATGAGTATATCTGTTTGTCTTTCCCCTTTAAAGTTCACAAATATTTGAGCAGAATAAACAATGTCAAACTTGTTCGAGCTAAGTTCTCAAAGTTTTCTTCGACTTCCTTTCGAGAGATGCATTATTTTTAGGCAAACCACTACTGCAAACTAATGCTTAAATTCCTTCCGTCTCTTTACGATTTATCAAATGTCTTAGGGAAACTCTTTGGTGAATTTTCTTTAAAAAGTCCTCAAACGGGTCGCATAGCCTTCCTGTCGCCATTTAAATTTAAGAAGAAGAAAGCATATGTAACGATTACCGGATTTGCTTGACAAGATTAGTTTGGGTTTTTGCCGAGAAATTCTTGTCCTAAAATTAATAATGCGTCCTAACAATCCCGTAGAAAAAGGTGCTTTTCACGACTAAATCAAATTACGACAAATCGATCCTTAAGATATCGTAAAAGCATGAGCTTTATCTCTCATAATCTCAACCAATAGATTTACCAATCGATGCAACCTATAGTTTACTATAGTAATCCAGCGTAATTTTTTGAATTTCTTTTTATTTTTCATTCTATGATGCTATTGATCCTGCGTAGAGGTGGCCGTAGTCTCAACCATTCCTGGTTTAAATTGAATGCTTTTGATGACGCGAATTTAATAGAAAATTATTCACGTAAAGCTTTTCCAATATTTTTAACGCTTTCTCCTACCGACTACTTGACTTGAGAGCCCCAAGTAGCTAATTGAAAAGCTATTACGGCTTAAATAATTTAATAAAAGAATTATTGGTTTTCTTCATTAATACTTGAGGCTTCACTCCTCAAGACTTCTGTTCCTCCTTCTTATAAAAACTTTTTTGAACACCTCCACCTAGACTTGAGTAGCAGACTTGAGTATGACTTTTGAATGGAATATTCTTATATACGTTAAGAAGGTCTTTGCGTAGCGACAACCCTTTCAAATTGCGAAATAACACATCTTGGCAATGTACGGACAAAGTATACGGAACAATCTAAATTTCACATATCCATTTCATTCTCTGATGCATCCATCGGTCGATTAAAGTGGAAAAAATACTCTTCGCTTTCTTTTACTTCAATTATAGTGGTCTCTGGTTATATCTATACATATATATATATATGGATATCTTAGAAACACATCTGTTAAAATTGTTTAGTCATTTGAGCTTTTTGGGGATTGCCTCTCTCCTAGCACTAGCTCCGTTGTTACTGGTGCAAGTAACATAGTAATGAGTCCATGTATCATTTAAACTCTTGCAGATTGCATGGCTTTGTGAGTCGTCACTTGGTAATATGCGTTGTGCACATTTCGGATAAAACTTTCTCTTATGCATATGTTCTTAAAAAACGCTAATTACAATTCTGCTGACATATGTACCTTGTCGACGAACCTTCCCTACAACACTCGGAGGCAGTAGCGAGTTTTTCTAAATTTTCTTCTTTTTTTTTTTTTTTTTTTTTAAGTAATTGCTTAAGATCTCTAAATTTCGCTCTATTGTAAGAATAAATAATTGACTTATATTGTGATAGCTAAAGACGATCGCTGCTCAAAGCGTAAAGGTAAGCGCATACCATACAACCCATACACGAAAAAAGTAACCTGAGTGTCTTTATGCTGATGCGGTTAGATAGTAAATTCTATAAAATAAAGGAAAAATAAAATAAAAAGTATAGCGATCTGTAACATCATTTTCAAGTGTCTCACGCGGGCGAGCCAAAATTGATTTCATTTATTTACTGACTTACAATCTACGCAAAAAACACCTCTTCATCATGCATAGAGCACAGCGCGCCTTAAACAATGTTAAACATTGGGATTAAAATCATGTTTATCATATTATTAATTAATTGATATGTTTTAATTGAATTTTTTTTTTTTTTTTTTTTTTTATTGTAGGTTTTAGTTGCTCCCTGCCTGCTTAAATAAATATGTTTCAACAAAATCTCATTAAACAGCGTCAAAAACAAACCCACACGTCATAGTTGCCGTCACGTATGATATAAAAAATTGAAAAAGTAAATTTACATAAAGAAACCCGTTATAAAACGATATTATTCGATCTGTTGACAATGAAAAAAAGTGTGAAAATCTTATATCATTAACTTTTATTGTCTACGAATAATTACGAGTAGAGAAAGAGAGAGAGAAAGAGAGAGAGAGATCTTGTCTTAATTATTCCCACTTTCATCTTTTCTTTCGTTTATCTATATCTCTTTTAACTGCAATACTTCTCATACGTAGACTTGTAGACGTGTAACTTAATTAGGGCTTCACTTTGCAGATTCGTTCCATAGAACCGTTACTTCGCTATAGTGGCGGGCTGTTAAGGCGATTTTAGACAGCCTATCAAGTTTAGCTGTAAATCGACGGTTTTCTCTAGAGATATTCAAGCTTCGTTCCGAGTTTTTTGACAGCTATAGGATGTCGGTGAATATTGCTAGATCGAACTTCTTTATGGCCAAACACAAATGACATGAATTTGTAGATTTTACTTGCGAGCATTCGATACTTTTTTGCTAAATTCTAACGTTGCTATGTTTTCGAAAATATTAAAGAGAAAAGAGAGAGAGAGAGAGAGGGAGCGCAACTGCAAAAGAAAACTTTCTTCAGTGAATTGCACGCTGCGCATTTATATCGAGCATAAATGCGTATATACATGTCTAGGCATATCTATGTATATCTGCTTGTTATGTACATGTACATATCTATGTGCACAGGATATTCACTTGTCTTTAGGTCAAAGGAAACAATTTACGTCTAATATCTAACGAAGAAGCGAAGCTATCGCTTATTATGTTGTGGGCTATGCAAGTATTGTTTGTTAATAGACCGATCAGAATCAAAGCGATGCCCGATCGTGGAGAACAACTTTACAACGAAGATTGTCGAATATAATTTGTAACCTACGCCACTTAAAGCCACATGAGTCGAGGTAATCGTTAAACGTAATATTATGGACCAATCAATGTATGCAACATCAGGTCATTACAAAAAACACGCGATAAACTTGGATGAAAATATGCGCAGAGCATATAGTTTGTATTCTAGATACAGAAGCTGGCGACCGGCCGATATAATCGTTGCTCTGCATTTTTTGAGCCAATCTACGTAAGATTACCTATCTCAAAATAAGACGTTATCCGAGGATTGGACCAAAAAGTGTTCGAGAAAGAGTTCCCTTTTAGGGCCAAAAGACCAGTCGCTCTACGTAAAATATCATGTTAGGATATCTTAAAAACTACGACTTGACGATTGAGCACAAAACATGCATAGTGAGGCATTAGACTGAAAGACAGACAAGCCAATCTAGAAATATTTTATTTAAGTCCCTGTAGATGTATATACATACATAGATCCGTACAAAGTTATTATGTCCTGGACTGTAAATGGGTTATGGGCCTA